CCAGACTGCTTCAATGAGATGAAGTTGTCTGGGTGCCTACAGTGTCCCTTTAATTATCTAACTACACTCATACTTCACTAGGGGTGAGGTGTAGGGGACCATTACTCAGATATAGCAATATAGAATAGTAGTTAAAGGGTCCACCAGATCTGGTGTAATTGTTTATGAATCCCTCACATAACAGGATAGGGAGTGCTAAGTGGGTCACCCTGGCACATTAATTAAACACTGGTGTATTTTCCAATCGATAATGATGCTCGATCTACAAACTGTAAGAATAAATACTGCTTTATACTTTAATCATTGGGGACGAGGCTTTACAGCCATGCTGGACTGTCACATATTTTCTAACTCTGCACAGCTGATAGAATTTAATGATATTTTGAAGCATTCAGCCTGCTTCAGCAGGAATTTGTACCACTAATCTTAAAAATCAACTCTGTGGGCTCAGCTAGCAAGCATTTTGGAGGCCGATTCTGCGGCCCTTGTGGTGGCACCGGTGAGAGAGAGGCGGCCAATCTCTCCACTATTATCCTACCAGTATGTAAAGCCTCCAGACTGCACCTGTCCGTTCACCCTTCCGGTGAGGGGTACCTATTGCTTTTTTGCCACATTTACCATGTGGGAGAGAAAGCTGATTGGTGTACTCTACATTTCAGTATGGCACCCCAAGGTCTGATCTTCAATACAATGCCCCGGCTTGATCAGCTTTTTACTTAGTTTTGGCGGAAGCTACACTGTTGCAGGCCTCCTTCCATGCACCAGGGACAGACCCCCACCTTTGTGTCAGATAACACCCAACTACATGCCTAATACAGCCAGTAATCAGACATTTACTGCAACTCCTTCGAGAGGGATCCCCTATTTTATACTGGAGACCTGCTCGATGAGGGTGGTCAGACCCGGCCTACTCGCGATCAGACAAGCCTCACAAGAAGCCGTCCTTATCGCAAGTGTGAGGCAAGCAGAGCATCATTCATACTGCAGAGTGAATAAGATCGTGTCTCTCTGGAAGGCGGTGCTATTGCTGTACTGTGTTCTACCCCAATGGGTTTCGCCTGATCCTGGGTTGAGGACTGGGAGCATGGCTTAGGCACCTTGCATTGATCCTTATACCTTTTAATACTTGGCAACTTGTTTTTAATTTGTATTATTTTATTTCATACCAGTGTATTCTGGCTCTGATATCTGGCTGTCCCAGTGGCTCTCAGCCTTTGTATTAATAATGGCTTATGCAACAACAACAAAAAACCCAAAATGAGGTATTTCCATCATATTTCCTCTTGTTCTGATATGTCAAAGCTTTACTGGCTCTCGTGTGTTTTATTGATTGTCTTGCATAACCTCAATTAAAAAAAAGATTGACAAAATAAAAACTTTAATCATTAATTATATTAATTTTATGCATTAAACTATTTAAAGAACTAACAGTTATCATGTATGCAATGTCAGCAATAATCTCTGGCCGGGACGTTAACCGAGATACAGAGCATGTTGTCGGTGTTGTCCAGTCCTTGTTGTGTAGAGATGGAGCCCTATCGGTTCGGTAAAATGGATCTTCCTTCTACTCTTCACCCCCCCCTTTTTTTTCTTGTCTTTCCCGTCTGCTCTCTCTCTCTTCCTTACTGTTTATCTCTTATCGTCTCTCCTTATCATCTTGGGAGATACAGACTATTTCCTTTCTACTGCATGTCAGTATCTACGCTAAACTGATTTAGATTGTAAGCTCAAGGGCCATCTAGCTAAGCACTTTGTATAAAAGAGCTCCAATGGCTAGATATCAGCTTACGGGCAGGGCTCTCTTACCTCTTGTATTTGTTTGTGTATATTGTACGTTTCTCAACTAATTGTACAGCGCTGCGGAATCTGTGTGCGCTTTATAAATTGCAATAATAATAATAATAATAATAACTGAACAGCTAACAACCATCCTATTTAAGTTCTTACTTTTTCCGCTTTTTAAATGTTTACGGCTCACTCCACAGGTATACTCATGTCGTACTCCCGGTTAAATCGGGAGCACATTCGTGGTGCTCCGGGGGTTTTGGGAGGAATAAAGTTTTAATATGATTTGGAGACTGTTATGATATTATAGCTGTGCTACGGAGTTTGTGAAGGGGGTAGACTGACAATTTTCTTAAAGGGACACTATAGTCTCCAAAACAACTTTAGCTAATGAAACTGTTTTGGTGTATCATGCCCATGCAATCTCACTACTTAAAGGGACAGTCCAGGCACCTAGACCAATTCTGCCCATTGGAGTGGTCTGTGTGTCAACTCCTACTACCCTTAACCCTGCAAGTTAATTATTGCAGTTTTTATAAACTGCAATAATTACCTTGCAGGGTTAAGTCCTCCTCTAGTATCAGTCTATTAGACAGCCACTAGAGGGACTTCCTTGTTCTTAGAACACGAAAAGTGTTTTAACTGACGCTGGACGTCCTCACGCTATGTGAGGACCTCCAGCGTTGCCGAAATCCCCAAAGGAAAGCATTGAATAATGCGTTCCTATGGGAAGGTCTAATGCGCGTGCGCGGCCATTCCTGCGCATGCGCATTAGGTCTCCCCTGACCAGCACCGAGGGACATTGGCGCTGGACTCCGGTAAGTCACTGAAGGGGTTTTAGCCCCTTCAGCAACTTGGGATGTGGGGTGGTCGGGAGAGGGGCACTACAGGGTCCTGCAGTGCCAGGAAAACTAATATCTTTTCTTGGCACTGGAGAATCCCTTTAACTCTCTCTAATTTAGAAGTTAATTTACTTTGTTTATGGATCCCTAGGTACACCTCCCTGCATGTGACTTACATAGCCTTACTAAACACTTCCTGTAAATAGTCATCTAATGTTTACACTTCCTTAATTGCAAATTTTGTTTAATTTAGAATTTCTTATCTTCTTCTCTGTTAATAGCTTGCTAGACCCTGCAGCAGCCTCCTATATATAATTAAAGTTCAATTTACAGAGCAGGGGATAAAAACTTTTAAAGTAAGTTATATGTAATTGAAAATGAAGCCATTTTGTTTTTCATGCAGGCTGTCCGTCACAACCAGGAGAGGTGTGACTAGTACTTCATAACAGAAGGAAGTTTAAACATTAGCTGATTAAATTACAGGAAGTGTTTAGAAAGGCTGTAGAAGTTACATGCATGGAGGTGTGACTAGGCTGTATAAACAAAGTGATTTAACTTCTAAATGGCAGATAATTGAGCAGTGACACATCAGAGGCATTATCTTACACCAAAACTGCTTCATTAAACAAAACTTATTTTGGTTACTATAGTGTCCCTTTAACCCTGATACTTTAACCCCTTAAGGACACATGACATGTGTGACATGTCATGATTCCCTTTTATTCCAGAAGTTTGGTTAAGGGGTTAATAATGTACTACTGCTGTGGGTGTATCAAGGCAACCACTGTTTTTATATAAACCCACATTAGACCCTTATAAGTTTAATGTTCTTGACTTACAGTATGAGCACTTTTTCTGTGTGTTTTTTTTCCTTTTTAAACTGTATAATTGTCATGTGGAAATAACCCTTTACCATTCCATTCTCCACATTTCTCTGATGATCCTTTTCTGATAGACTTTCTTAGATAAAAGTCAATTTTAAACTATGTCAGCAAAAACAGGTAAAATACAAAATAAACGTAATTGAATTAACCCATATAACTCAGAAAAATATATTGTGATCCGTTTACTGACTGGCTGACAGAAACGGTTTGTCAGCAGTTAAATTCACCCAATCCAAAAGTACAAGAAGGTTTTTCTAAAAAATTAAAAACACAAAACACACACTCTTTATAAATTCCTGTATTTCTGCACCCATACACTCACCGTTTAGAAACACCCGTATCACTCAGAGCTATATTAAGGTCACCCAGAGCCATAAGTGGGGTGCCAGATTGCGGCCCTCTCCTAGAGCCCTGGGCTCTGTTCCTAAAAGTGTTGCGTTGTGTGTGGCTGCTGAGTGTTGTGTGTGTGAGAGTGTGTTTAATGGCCGAGTGTTGTGTGTGTGGAGGAGGCTGACAGCTGTATATTGGGGGGAGGCTAGGTGTGTGCGTTTGGTTGAGTTTTGTGTGTGTGTAGTGTCTGAGTGTGTGTGTTTGTAGTGTCTGAGTGTGTGTCTATTGTCTGAGTATGTGTGTCTAGTGTCTGAGTGTGTGTGTTTGTAGTGTCTGAGTGTGTGTTTGGTTGAGTTTTGTGTGTGTGTGTGTATGTAGTGTCTGAGTGTGTGTGTTTGTAGTGTCTGAGTGTGTGTTTGGTTGAGTTTTGTGTGTGTGTGTAGTGTCTGAGTGTGTGTCTAGTGTCTGAGTGTGTGTGTTTGTAGTGTCTGCGTGTGTGTGTTTGCCCCCTCCTTATTACCTTTCCCTGGTGGTCCAGTGTAGAGCCTTCACTTGTGGTCTGATGGGGGAGCACTGTGTTCTACATCAGTATCAGGAATTGTCGGGAGTTTCAAGTGAATTTAAAAGTTAAAGCCAAAGTATCTGAATTGGAAGCATAGCTGACTTTGACCATTTTTTAGTTTGGCTTTCAATTTAGAAAAAATCACTTTGAATTTAACAATTCTCAGTTTAGTAAATAACCCTGTTAGTATTATGCTCGAGGCCGTATATAGCGAGACCCCACATATACTTTTATTTCATGACCCCTCCAGAATCTCTCCCTCTATATCTGTTTCGTCGTTTTCACTGTGTATCAGTTCTAGACTGGATGTATCTCTTTACTTTAGTTCCATCTCAGAGTTCTCCTATCTCTTCACCCACACGTTCCTTCTACATAATCACCCCAGACCACACATATCTCCACCCTACACATCCCACCTCACAGCCTGACCAGTGGACATATATTAACTGATTTTTGCTGTGAAACTGCTTAATGTTATTTACTCTCGAAGTCACTGATACCAGGCCATGGGTTTAATATCCGACCACTTGTTTTTGTTCATACATGTAGAGGACGGTGTCATATCCTGTTGAAAGTTAAGGTTTCCACATGCGGTGTACTTAGCAACGTAATTGTAACCTTTCAACTGCAGAGACCTTCGCTTTCACTGTGCGAACTGGTGAACATGATAACACATTAATTCGCTGACAAATACTCTGAATAGACATTTCCTGAGATCTGTTATTATTCCGGAAATGTCTGGGCAGCAGAGAAGATTTCACTGGCTAATCCATACTCAGCAAACCGACTTCCCCACATTGTCCTGTCTTTCAAAGTTCCAGCAAAACAACAGATAAAACCTTCTCCTGGGGGAGAAAAGTCACAGAATCACTGCGGTGACATGGGGTTATTCGTTTATAGGATAATTCTTTTTACCTGAATCTCTAGCATTATGAGAAAAGTTCAGCAGCTTTCTTTAGCCGTAGACAAACTCCTCTTAGTTTTCATTGAGAGAAACTGCTGTCAGGTTCAAATATGGCTGAATGTAGCAAACAGTTATGGTGAAACTCAAACGTCTCACGTTTTAATCCATTAAAATAGGATTTTACTATTGACATACACACTTTGAACCATCATAGAATTTCTCTATTGAAGACTTTGATCCCATCTGCATTAAAGGCTTTGATTAGCTTCCCTCAGTAAACAGAATGATGCAAATAATGTAAATGTCCGACACGTGCCTGTGTGAATTGTATCAAAGTTCACTTTCATGAGATGACTCTATATGTAAAATAGGAGAAACCTGGCACAATTGTTATCAAAACAACTCTCTCTCTGTCTCTCTTTCTCTCTCTCTCTCTCTCTCTCTCTCTATGTATATATATATATATTCAGGTGCACTCACAGGAGTGTAAACTGGAGAATAGCAGTTTAATGTGAATAAAATATACTTTATACAATATGTTTATCTATCTTGTGGTTAATATTTTCAACAACATTAAAGGAGCACTATAGGGTCAGGAACACAAACATGTATTCCTGACCCTATAGGATTAAAACCACCATCTAGCCCCCCTGGTCTCCTCATGCCTCCCTACACATAGTAAAATCTTACTTGTATTCAAGTCTGCAGCTGCTTAGTTTGTCCCTGTTTCCTTTAGACCTGCCCACTGCCTGCTCACATCAGCAGAAGTGGTAGCATGATTCAATCACAATGCTTCCCCATAAGATTGCAAGATCTGACAAAGACAAAGAGGCAGATCAGGGGCAGAGCCAGCACAATTCAAACACAGCCCTGGCCAATCAGCAGCTCCTCATAGAGATGAATTGAATCAATGAATCTCTATGAGGAAAGTTCAGTGTCTGCATGCAGAGGGAGGAGATACTGAATGTTTGGATGCATTTTAGGCAGCCATGACCCAGGAAGGATCTCTAACAGCCATCTGAGGAGTGGCCAGTGAAGTTATCACTAGGCTGTAATGTAAACACTGCATTTTCTCTGAAAGACCATGTTTACAGCAAAAAGTCTGAAGGTAATGATTCTACTCACAAGAACAAATTCAATAAGCTGTAGTTGTTCTGGTGACTATAGTGTCCCTTTAAATAAGGCCCTGATTTTATTTCAGTATCAACGGACCATGCCATCTATAGTGATGGATATAGAGCTGTATGCAGGGCCGGATTAACATAGGGGCTGATGGAGCTGCAGCTCCAGGCCCAGGCCCATGGAATAGGCCCATTGATTTTAAAAATAAAAAAAAATAAAAATTTTTTTTTTTTTTTCACACACTACTCTTAGGGATTCCACATGGCTTTTATTTTATTGGCACAGCCAGTATTTGAGGCTGCCTGGCTGGTGCCAATATTGCAGTGATACTGGCAAAATAAATGCTGGTATTTTTCTCAGTATAAATGGAGATTACTCTGCAATACCAGCACTGGCCAGTAGGGGTCGCTGTGTATGTGGAGACAGGCAGGGATAGGAAGTTCCAGCATATCCCTCCCTGCCTATCTATACTCACTGATCTGCAAGTGTGCAGCTACAGAGAGTCCAGACAGCAACTACCACCCTGCAGAGACAGCCTACAGCTCAGGGAAGTAAGGGATGGGGGGAAAGGCAGCAGGGAGACATGGGGACACTGAGACACTAAGGGGCACTGGGAGACATTATGGCAGACACTGAGCCACTAAGGGACATTGGGAGACATTATGGCAGACACTGAGACACTAAGGGACATTGGGAGATATTATGGCAGACACTGAGACACTAAGGGACATTGGGAGACATTATGGCACAGACACATGGGGACATAGTGTCCCCATGTCTCCCAGCCAGTGTCCCTGGTGTCTCAGTGCCCCCTAGTCTCCCAGTGACCCCTAGTCTCCCAGTGCCCACAGTCTGCCAGTGTCTCACTATCCCCATGTCTCCTATTGCCTCAATGTCTCTCAGTGCCTCAAGTGTCACAATGTCCCCAAGCTAGTGTTCCTAGTGTCTGTGGCCCTGGTGTCTCAGTGTCCCCATGTCTCCCAGTGCCCCCATGTCTCAATGTCCCCATGTCCCCCAGTCAGTGTCTCTAGTATCTTTGTCCCTGTTGTCTGTGTCCCCATGTCTTCAAGTGTCCCCTATTTTCCCATTGTCCCCATGTGTCCCCCTAGTCTCCCAGTGTCACTGGTGTCTCCTATCCCTAGGTCTCCCCGTGTCCCCAGGTCTCCCCGTCTTCCTAGTGTCCTAGTGACATGGGGACCCTGGGATACATGGGGACACAGGGAGACATGGGGCATTGAGACACTGATACATAGGATCACTGGGAGACCTGGGGACACGACACTTAGGGGACACTGGGAGACATGGGGCACTGAGACACTGATACATAGGAACACTGAGACCTGGAGTAATCGACACATGGGGGCACTGAGTCATGAGGGCACTGGGAGACATGGGGGCACTGGGAGGAATCCATCTATACAGCAGATTTAAACTAAGTAGTTTTTTGGTGATTTTACAGCATTTTCTCTTATGTCACTCCTTGTGATTTACATCATGTGATGTCACCCACACATATTTAATTATGCAAATTAGTAAGGCCGGTATGTTTTTCCAAGAAAGGTGGCAACCCTAACTACTTTTCACATACTCTTACTTAAGTATGGAAACTTAAGAGGGATATATGGGAGCAACATTTGTGTGGACTGGCTGACAATGAATATAGGTAAAGAAACACTATAGTCTCCAGAACAACTACAGCTTATTGAATTTGTTCTGGTGAGTAGAATCATTACCATCAGGCTTTTTGCTGTAAGCATGGTCTTTTCGGAGAAAATGCTGTGTTTACATTACATACTAGTGATAACTTCACTGGCCACATGACTGTTAGAGATCCTCCCTGGGTCATGGCTGCCTAAAATGCATCCAAACATTCAGTATCTCCTCCCCCTGCATGCAGACACTGAACTTTCCTCATAGAGATTCATTAATTAAATTCATCTATATAAGGAGATGCTGATTGGTCAGGGCTGTGTTTGAATCATGCTGGCTCTGACCCTGATCTGCCTCTTTGTCAGTCTCAGCCAATCCTATGGGAAAGCACTGTGATTGGATCAGGCCACCACTTCTAATGATGTCAGCAGACTGCTTGTTTTTATGAGCCTAACAGCATGCAGAGTTACAGCTTCAGGCTTGAATATAGTAGGATTTTGCTATATTTATGGAGGCATGTGGGGCCCAGGGGGCTAGATGGTGGTGTTAACACTATATGGTCATGAATTCATGTTTGTGTTCCTGACCCTATAGTGATCCTTTAAGGTAATGCTGACTTTGGTCTCTCTAACACTGTGGCATGTTCCCTTTCTTCTACACTCACTACATACAGCTTTTCTCTGTCCCAGACCATATACCAGGAGCTTCTGCCTGCTAGTAAGAAGGTTAGGAGACAAGTGGACCAGCGAGTGCTAGGGGACAGTCCTTAGAAAGCGTTGAGCGAGCGCATCATTAGATGCATTTATGCCAAGCTCAGGGTGCTGTCTGCATAGTATGCCCTTTGTTGGCCAGCTGCATGATTGGCAGGCAGCCTGACATGCATTCATGCCAGGCTGGCCTTCTAATTCTTTGAGCAGACATGTCCTCTTTTTGGGCATGTTCGCCCCTTTTGGCAGGTTACGTGATTTGTGTCAGTGGCACACCCTTTTACCATGCCCATTGACTTCCTGCTTGACTGGGCACTGCTGTTAGGGGTTATGGATTACTTGAAAGATGAAAACATAAATTAGAGAGAGATTAGCCTAGGGTATGTGTTTTCTTATAGCTGCTGTTTTCTTTCTCTCCAGCACCATCTCCATCTCCATCAGATACATGATGCTTGGAAGTGCTTTACTGTTTTTGGTCGAAATGATTCTGTAATTAGGCCCGTCATAATTGTCAGCACCAGGCCCACTGGGCTCTTAATCTGGCCCTGGCTGTATGTATGACAGTTCTGGTAAAACCAATAAGGGTAGCACTAGCACCCAGACCACAGGAAATTATTTAGGTGTCTGGAAATAGTATAATATTTATAAACGGATAACTTTGAGACGCCTCTTGTAGACCCTACATTACGAATGGTTGGTCGTACACTAAGGACTGGGGTTGAGGTACACTAATCTAGAACGCCTGTCTTTGATTGCGTGACTGCTTGTGAATTCACGGAATTCAGTCACACCTCTCTCTGATCATTTATCTTTTTCTTAAAAAAAGAAAAAAAAAATCTTGTCAGAAAAACAGGAACATTTAGCCAAACATCCCTCTGCAAATATTGACATGTTTTTGTCCTTTTCATTTACATTGCAGGTTGTCTCTCTCTCCCACCTGCACGGCTGGCGGGGATTTTATTTATGTGGCAAAAATATGCTGTGTAATCATATTAATATTTTAATGCAGTCATGCATAGCATGGTGTAAATGGCAGATTTTTGGATTAAGTTACTGTGAAAAGCAAAGTTTACTAGTTCAATCTGCCCAGTCTTAGTTGAGTTTCTCATTATATGGCGTTTCAGCCAGTTGATTGCTCTTAATACAATGCATACATCGGATAGTATTAAAAAGATTATTCAGTTATGGACTTAATTCACTAAAATCCAAATTGAAGCTATCTGAAATCACAGTGATAATAAGTAGGCCAAAATAACCGATCCAGAAAAATTCTCCAACTGAGCATTATTTTTGTCTTAATTTTGCCTTTCTGCAATGAATCACTAAAACTTGGAGTTTAACGAATAAACTCCTGTGTGCAATACATTAAATCAAGCCAGGGGATATTGCAGTTACAGATTCTTGCTTCTCTGATTCTGTATGTGAGACAGCCAGAGTTTATTTTGTTTATTGCAAAGTCAGATCCTGAGATTGAGAAACCTGCAAGGCCAACGAGATTGCTGGTTTTGCAGTTTATTTTAAACACATTCCTTGTTCGGTAATCCCGATTTGTACCATACACATTGCTCAATATGAAATCAGTAGAACGTTGAAGACAAAACACCATTCAATATTCTTTTCCAAAAGCATCCCAAATAATGCATCCCTACTGCTTGCAACTCGCTAGACCAGGGGTAGGCAAACCTCAGCACTCCAGATGTTGTGAACGACACATTCCATGAGCATTCTGGGAGATGTAGTCCACAACATCTGGAGTGCTGAAAATTGCTCTGTGCCCCAAAAAGGCTGTGTTCCTCACATGTGCGGAGGAAGGTTTTTTTTTTTACCATTGTATATTTTTGTGGGAGTGAAGAGGTTTATTTTTATTGTAATATTTTTTTTTTTTAATTTTGTGGCAGGAAATGCTATTTTAAAACCTAAAGCTGTATTTTGTTTTTAACACTTTAACAAAATACATTCTATACATTTAACCTTTTGACTAGTTTTCGTGTTGGTTCCAAGTTATGATATGTATCCGTGTATATATATTAAACGGGTCAGCCAAAGCACCAACACCCACACAGGGCCGGCCTTAGGGGTGTGCGAGCTGTGCGGCCGCACAGGGCGCCATGGCAAGAGGGGCGCCGGGCGGCCAACACAGCTCGCATTCAGTCACTCACAGGCCGGCCCAAGTCATGTGCAGAGCAAGTCAAGTGCATTGTGCTGTATAAGTATAAGGGGAGCAGGGGTTTGTAGAGGGGCAGGAGTTTAGTATAAGGGGAGCAGGGGCTTAGTATAAGGGAGGCAGGAGTTTAGTATAAGGGGCAGGGGTTTAGTATAATGGGGGCAGGAGTTTAGTATAAGGGGGGGCAGGGGTTTAGTAGAAGGGGAGCAGGGGCTTAGTATAAGAGGGCAGGGGTTTAGTATAAGGGGGCAGGAGTTTAGTATAAGGGGGCAGGGGTTTAGTATAAGGGGAGCAGGAGTTTAGTATAAGGGGCAGGGGTTTAGTATAAGGGGAGCAGGGGTTTTGTAGAAGGGGAGCAGGGGTTTTGTAGAAGCGGGCAGGAGTTTAGTAAAAGGGGCAGGGGTTTAGTATAAGGGGGAAGGAGTTTAGTATAAGGGGAGCAGGGGTTTAGTAGAATGGGAGCAGGGGTTTTGTAAAAGGGGAGCAGGGGTTTATGTAGAATGAGTACAGGGCTTTTGTAGAGGGTGGCAGTGGTTTTGGTGGAGGGGGAAGGTTTTTAGTGATATTATGTGTACATTGCTGTATAGTTGATATATATAATGATAGCATGTGTTTTGTTAAAGGGGGAGAAAAAAATTAGTAGAAGGGTGGGCGCAGGTTTTATTAAAGGGGGAGCAGGGGTTTTGTAGAAGGGGCAGGGGTTTTGTAAAAAGGGGGGCAGGGTTTTTGTATAAAGGGGGGCTGGGGTTTTGTGGAAGGGTTTTGTAGAAGGCGGAACAGGGCTATTGTAGAAGGGGCAGGGGTTTTGCTGAAGGGGGGGGCGCCGTATGTTGGGCTCGCACAGGGCGTCTGATCACCTAAGGCCGGCCCTGCACCCACATCAGCTAAATGAAGTGGTTTTGGTGTATAGATCATGCCCTGCAGTCTCACTGCTCAATTCTCTGCTATTTAGGAATTAAATCGCTTTATTTTTGGAGCCCTAGCAATAAGGTACACCTCACATGGATGCCAGGCACTACACACCTCCCAAAAATATTTTTTAGCCAATGCATTACCTTTGGCTCAGCTGAGTGTTCAATTTAGGAGTTGCAGGGGTAGGATAAGGCCTTAGGTGGCCTTAGGCAACTGCCTATGGTCCCAGGCTCAGCCGTGCCCATTCTTCAGCTGTAATCACTGTTCTTGTAGTATGACAGAGCTATTATTGCTTAGTGTTGCACTGTCCCCATGCTATTACCCTCCAAACTAAAATCTTGCATGCCTGGTGTCTCTGTATGGACAGTGTAGCGGTAGAGGGAGGGAATATGGGCAGAGATTAACATAGACAAAATGTGTGATATCGCTTGGCAATAGGGTTCTAGGCATGGGCCCCAAACTAGCCCTCTGCCTAAGGTCCTAAGCAGTTACATTTGCCATAATTGATGCATCATAACAGTCCATTTCTGATGCATCTGAACTTTCAAATTAACTGTGTCTTAATTAGTGACTGAAAAAGTAGTAAAAATAGTTCAATTATGAAAGTCAAACATGTCATAAAGTATTTAAAAAGGTGCAGATTTTTTTTTTTTTTTTTTTAAATTCTTTATTTTTGTTGTGCTTTGGGTAACATAACAAATAAGCTCTTGGTGCCCCAATAACATTCCTCAAGCACATTTTCAGGCAAAACAATTGGAACATTAGGATTATCAGCACACATTTTTTGTTTAAGTTTGAGATTAGTATTGATAGATAGATCATGTTATTGGTAAATGTAGGTCGCAATAACCAGCATTGTGGGTACAAGGGGTTAATACATATGACTGATCTAGGCTATTAACATGCATAATTCTTTGCTAGTGTATCTGTCTCACAAGGCACATGCTCATTAATGTATGCGTGGTAGGTAGGCTAAACTGAGTGTCTAGGCATGGAATCTAAGGCTGTATTAACATAGTAAGAGGTGAAATGCCTAGGGTTCCAGTAGGTTGGCTAAGCGTTTAAACAAATCTAAGTATAGCAAATAAAGGGTACTGGCAGAATGCACAGTGTATAAGGGTCAATAGAGGGGGAGATCCCCGGATATTGTTTGCGTTTTACGGTTCTCAGTGTATTGGGACATGCAAATAAATGAGTACAAGTTATACTATTGAGGTATGATGCATTTGGGCTAAACAGTAGCTTGAGTTGGAGAGAGTCCTAGCCGTGCAATGCATAACAATAGGCATGTCTTTGACCAAGAGTCGCGTTGTCATTCAACGTTCAAAGGTTATATAGTCCCTGGGGTGCTGTGCACATTAGGTGGTGATCGCAGCGTACGATTCAGGTGTCGAGCCCTGTGGGATAAACGGGTTAATTTTTGCCGGGTCCCAAATCTGCGCTGGGGTGGTCGGGTGAAGATGTCTTTCCTGTGTGAGCGAGGTCTGTGGGATGCCCAGAGTGCGCAGGAGGTCAGGGGCTTCTTGGATGTCGTGGATCAGATGAGAGGTTGTTCCTTGCTGAACCCTGAGGGTCCTAGAGTTCCGCCAGCGGTAGCTAATTTCTTGCCTTTGGAGCAAAGAGGTGAGCGGCCGGAGCGATCTGCGCCAGGCCAAGGTGTCTCCCGACAGGTCAGCAAAGAAGGTCAGTGCCCTGTTTTCGAACTGCATGGGGGTTTTGCCTCGGAGTGCCGTGAGAGTTGTCGCTTTCTCTTTCCCATTTCGGAAAGTGATTATAGTGTCTCTCGTGGCCAAAGGTGGTGCTCTGGGGGGTTTCGGGATTCTAAACTGGTTCACCAGGGTGATGGCTTTAGCCTGACTGTGTGGCAATATGGCCGCCATCATGCGTCGTATAACGTGCGGCAGTTCGGCCTCTGGTATCTCATCTGGGAGCCCTCTGACCTTTAGATTTTGTTGTCTCTTGGTGTCCTCTTGAGCCGCAAAGCGGCGTTCCTGTATCTGGTTCTGCCTTTGTAAGACGAGTACCGCCTGTTGTAGGGACGATAGGTCCTGCTGGTGTCCTTGTGATGTTGTCTCTAGTGTGCTGATGCGGCCTGTCAGGCCCTGCAGCTCTCCCCTGAGGGCAGTTACATCTGTCAATATATTCTTTTGGAGATCTGCCAGTAGGGCTTTCATAACACCTGTGGTTACCAACTCAGCATCGGTACCTGTTGTTTGGGGCCTGGCCTTCTGTGTTATGGCTGGGGCTGTCAGGTATTCGTCCTCAGCGTCTCCAGAGAGATCATCCGAAAAATCGGAACATCCACCGTGGAGGGCCGCCATGGTAGGTTCCGTTGTGCCTCGTGTTTGCCTCCACATTTCGCCAATCGTTCGCCCTGAGGTAGGCCTGTCTGGTCCCGGTCTTTTATTTTTTTTCCCCATTTTGCTTTTCTTCGCTTTAGGGGGGGTCTCCGCCGTTATTTGTGGGTCTGGGAGGGTTATTTGGGGGTAATTAGTCCGTTTTCCCCAGATTTTTTTTTTTAATGCCAAGAATCCTGAAATAGTAGCGTTCCCTTTAGGATAACACCCCCAGTTAATTTTATCAGTGTCGGAAAGGAGGGAAGGAGTAAACCGTATTGTGGTGTTATTTTTTGGATCATACCCAATGTCCCTCCTCTATCGGTATGTTCGACTCATACAAAGAGAGGCAGGGCCAGATGGATCTGTACACATAGCCATCATGCTTAGAGCATCCTTTATAGCTCCTGCAGCCTCTCCACGTTATATTATAAACTACTACCATATTATTGTTTTAGAGCGACCCTATTCATTGATTCTGGAATTCAGCACTTAGAGCAGCATTGCACCCGAGGTTGTAGTTTATCACGGTCACTGCTTTCAGAGGGGAACATAGAAGGTCCTATGGCTTCACTGCACTGCAGTTTCATGGAACTGAGGCAAGGCTAATTGTTCAGATCTAACGCTCTGAAAATAAAACCCAGGAATTCGTGTCTTTAATTATTCATGGTTTCCAGATAAATCAGACAATTAGAGCGGTTTAGTGTTAGAGGCCCATGTAACAAAACTAGACATGGCTGGGTGTTCACATCAAAGCCATTAGTCTCTTTTGTTGGACTGACAAAAAACAAAACAAAAAAAACACACAAAAAAATCATATAGTTTTTAATTTTTTTTAAAGGCCTACTCTGAATGACTTTCTCAGCATGCTTTGATACTTCAACTCATAATAATTATATACACAAACCAAATCTATTGACAAAATATGACACAACAAAATAATTAGGGTTAATAGAGTCCAAAACACGTATTTAAAAGATAATAGCTTTGCAATAAGACAAAATATGTATTAATGTTAAATAAACAACAATCACTCAGATTCGGAGACAAAATCGTCAAAGCAGAAAGTTTGTAACGCCAGTCCTCGTCATTGCCGTGTGCTGTAACAATGTAACATTACTCATGTACATTAACAATGTAACACCATTTTACAGCATGCCA